CGCCTCCGGTGTCATTATGCAACAGGTGTTCTCTCTGTGTGGATGTCTTGTTGGGCACCTCCCAGTATATGGTTGGCTCCATGTGGCATGTGGAATGCTCAAGAGGAGAGCAGGTTTGGTTACGATGGGCTGGGACGATGAAACGAAGGATACCCTCCTCCAGCATATGGTGTCTGAGATCATGCATTCTGTGCATTGAGATGACCCAGCCCGTGTGGATTGGTGCATGGATGGCCTGGAACTGAATGTGTGGGTCAATGCCAATTCTCTGGCGATTGGACTAGTGTTAGAGATCCATGAAACAGTGCTGGAGAATGCTTGCTGGCTGCGACCTAAAGACGATGCTCAACATATCAACCTGGCCGAGCTGAATGCCGTGTTGAAAGGCGTCAATTTGGCACTCCAGTGACAGAGCGAGACGCTACACGTAAAAATAGATTCCATTTGCGTGTACCACTGGGTATTGGATACTCTGACTGGGAGAGCGTGAGTGCATACCAAGGCGGCAAACGAAATGCTCATCAGGAGGCAGCTGAACACTCAAGGGGCTCGTGGAAGAGTATCAGCTGACCGTGGACGTGACACTGGTCCCATCAGCTCTAAATATAGCTGATCGACTGATGAGAGTACTGCAGCGATGGTTTGATGCAATGAAGAAAAGCAATGGACCTGGGTAACTGATTGGCGCCATCCATGTGGATGAACTGGATGCAGACCAAATTATGTCCATCCACATGAATAGTGGTCACGCAGGAGTGCGGCGCACTATCTACTTCGGCAGGAGAGTCTGCTCGTCAACGACAAAAGCAGCCATTAGATCAGCTATACGGACATGTGAAGAATGACAGTCTATAGACTCCGCACAAATTCACTGGGAAAAAAGAAATCCTGAGGTACGTGGGAACTGGCAGAGACTGGGAATGGATATCATCCACTATGCTGCCCATGATTTCTTAATGCTGATGGACTTTCATTCTGGAAGCAATTGGCGAGACAGGACTTGGCATCCGTGATTCGCCAACTGAAAGCAGTCTTCTTCGAGCGGGGCCCAGCTTAAGGCAGCAGGGAATTCAGAGCCTTTGCGCATGAGTGAGGAGTCAACTTGCAGTTCCATTGTGCATATGTCCCAGCTGGGAATGGGATAGCAGAGTGATGCCACTGCACAGTAAAACACATCACGGCCAGGATGCGCTTTTAAATCCAGGAAACCATCTATTGGTACAATGTCGTACCAAAAGACGGTACATCACCCCAGACTGCGCCCGCCAACAGGATCCACCAATATGAACGGTGAAAGGGGTTGATGCCCCGATGATGTCGTTAGATCCCAGGCATGGCTTTTACCAGGTCGGAGATCACGTGTGGCTCAAGGCGCCAATGAGTCGGTGCACCACAAAGTTCAACAGAGGTCGGGTGATGAAAATGATCAGCCTGCAGTCATTTCTGGTGGATGGAATACCCCGCCACGTTAAGGATCTGCACATGCACCAGTTTCAGCGTGTCTGAGGAAGATTCCGGTGACACATCTGAGAGCTGCTTGACGAGGAAAGTGCAGAGTATGTCAATCCACCCGAAGAGGGAGTAGAAGCAGAGACCCACACTGACAATCCACCCGAAGAGGGAGCAAGAGCAGAGACTCCTCCCTGCTTTTGCGAAGAAGCACCTGTCTAAAATGACCGTTGCCGGGCTGCCACCTTTGTGATTATGAGATCAGGGAGGGGTGTGATGAAAGACATGACTTACCTCAGAATTTGAAACGAGCGCAAACGTGTCTTGCCTGCAAAGTAATAACAAAAAGAAATATGGCAGCTATTGAAGACACAATTTATGCGCGCATATCTCATCCAAAACAAGGCGATATTTGCACACCTGCAAATTTTGGCCGTCTTGAATACCATAAAAAGTGGGGTGCCAGCAGCACCAAACGTCAAGGAGTCATTTGGCAGACTGCGTGTAATAGTTGGATGTACAGATTGACAGATGAACAAAGAGGAAGTCGAAGGCGCGGCTGAGTTGGTGTCTGTTTCACAACAGTCCAGTGTAATGAAAAGGAGTCATGCAATCCATTTCCTTGAGGTGACTGAAGAAGAAAGAAAAAAAAAAAACACCTCATAATCATTTTTTTTTTCTCCTACATATGGTAAAAGAAAAAAAGAACAGCAATGGAACATTTGAATATTGAACCAAAGCTGAAGAAATATAGACTCCAGAGGAAGTCATCTCAAAGGAGAGGTGTTATATAGGAATAAAGCATCACTGCAGACACTTGAGTTTGAACATAGATCACCAGAGAAAAAAAAACACAGGCAATCCCATTATTGAATGTGGATCATGATGTGACCATAGAGGAAACGCATATACGTAGGAAGTAGCTGACAACTAACGATCTCTATTACTATACAAACCACTATTCTCTACTCTATTGTTCAATGGCATACTATAGTGGTATCTGCAATTAAAAAAGTCTTTACTACAATACAAAAGTGACAAGTATTCCTTACAATCACAAAAGTGGCAATGAGTATTCGTTGGCATCACAAAAGTTGCTCACTTCACTTTTAATTTGTTTTGTATTTAATTGCAATGATGACACTTATCTCCTTTTGTCGATTTTTTTCTTTTTGGATATGCTATGATAATGGACTTCCTGCTTCTCTTTAATAAAATTATAGAAATTGTGTGTGTGTGTATATTTTCCAATCTGTTTTACCTAGTAATAGTAGTTTTATTTTGGAAATTTTTTACTAATATTTTTCCAACTACATAAGTATCAGATATATCATGATGTTTCTTGCTTCAAGTAAAAATTAGCAAAGTTTATTTCAAGGCTCAAAATCTTTGTACCCATCAGTTAAACTAGTACTTGTAGAATTTTGTTCGAAAGAGAAACCAAATTTGAAAAGCTATATAAAGAGCCCTTTGTAGAGTTTTATTTTTCCAAATTGCCAATGCTGTTTGATAATCTACAAATATCATCTATTTGGCAATTATTTGATTAAACAATTTGTGGAATCAGCCTAGAAAACATGGTTAAAATCAACCTGTAATTATATTTTATTTTAGTATTGGTTGGGGATTAAATTTTATCAGAAAGGATAAGATAAAGTAAAGATTATATGAACAATTTATTTATAGCATCTCATGCAAATGTGGAAACACACACATTGAAGATGACTGCTTTTGAGAAAAATCAACATCTATTTTTAACTGATGCATCATATGATGATACTGTTCAAACTAACTTTACTTTAAAAGCAATCAACTTATTTTGTATTTGAAAGTACTAGATTTGTGTGTGTGTGTGTTTATATATATACACACACACACACACAAGGTGCGATGGGTAAATTGTCGCATTAAAAATTTAAAAAAAAAAAAAAAAAAAAAAAAAAAAAAAATTTTGTGCATGTGTATTGTTTGTTTTTGTTGAATGCACAGTATAGTAGGATCAGTTGGGAACCATCTGTGATAAAAAGAGCACCATGGCACAATTCTCTCTGCAAGAAATTTGGAAACCACATGCTGTACAATTTGGCATTTCTGCAGAAACTCTAATATGAACATTTTAGAATGTTGGGGTGTCAATCTGAGGATAATGCAAAGGATTTGGAAAGAGTTGGACAAGTCTGATGGTGATTACAAAGGTATGGCAGCTAGGAAAACTCACTCTGATCATTCTGATAAGAAAATAACTTCCAAATTTGTTGGTAAGGGTCTCAGACTTAACACAAGGTCAAAAGGATGGCTGCTGGAAGACACTACATCTGGCAACAGGACTTTGTCAAACAATATCTGCAACCACATTACCCCTTACATGTGGCCACCTAACTCCCTAGACTACAACCTCTTTGATTATTATGTGTGGGGCACAGTTGTGAGAGAGACAAACCAAATGAAAGATGAACTAGTGGCAAGGGTTATGGCAGTATTCACCGACAAACAAGGTGTCCATCCAGAAGAGTTGAAGGAGATTCCTAATTCTTCTAGTTGAAGCCAATGGCAATTTTATTGAATAAATTTACTCTTTAGTATTTCAAGATATTTTTATGTAATTTTGGTAAATATATCTGTTAAAATAACATGTCAGTGTTATTTTCATTTCTGAGTAATTTAGATGACAATTTAGCCATCTCACCCTACATACATACATACATATAACACCCTATTATTTATTCAGACCTGTTTGTTTTAAAGAAAGAAGGTATATTTTTTTCCTTAAAAAGCTTTTGCAAATAATACTTCTTACTATATTACCAACTTTGAAAAAAGAAATGTTAAGTCTAATATTGAAAGGTCGAGCAAAAATAAAATAAAAATTCACATTTATATATATATAAAAAAAGCATTTTTTAATTTTGTATTTTTTATTTCCAGAGAAAATAAAATAGCATCTTTTAGAAAAAAACGTGAGATATTTATCAAGTCTAATGTTGTAAAAATTAATAAAATATATCAGAAAAGATATTGTTAAATTATTGTAGAAAATAGATCTTCATAGAGAAAAAAATGAAGGCCCATCTTTAGTTAATGCAGAAAAAATATTGAATGTTAAGCAAGATAAAAAAAGTCAATAGTAAATATTAAAAGACATTTTAAAATATAATAATTAAAGATGTCAAGAATTAAACTAATTTTAAATTTATTTTAATTATAAACACTTAAATTTTGAATTGTTTAAAAGCACTAAAATAGCTTAAATGGATCTTAATTTAAGGAGTTATTTTTGTACTGATGTAGCTTTTTATAATTTAAAAAATAAGATTTAAACAATTTATTTTCATGAACTAATATTATGATCCATTTGTATCTTCATGGAAGCAGTTAATTTTGTTTGTCTTATAAACATTATTACATAATACATTTGGTGAATAACTGGAATAAATTAGTTTAAAATTTATGGGTTGTATAATTTCTTTTTAAATTTGTGCCTGCTTGAATAGATAATTTGTTAATAGAGTTTTCATGATTTGAACAAACTACAATGTCATTTATATTTTTTACTATTTATTTGCATATTCATAAAGGCTAGATGCATGCTTTTGTGTAAGAGCCAGCCCTTCACAGTTCTGCTGCCATGTTATGGGGATGGCCTCTTCACCCCAATATGCTCCAGCAATAGCACCTGCCATTGTGGCTATTGTATCTGTATCTCCTCCTAAAGATATTGCATATATGACAGTGCGCTCAAAGGCATTTCGTTCCTGAAAATAGAAAAGAAAATGTTATAGGGTGAATGTTATAGGGATTATGAGGTGAAAGAAAAATAATTTTCCTATAAAATTAGAAGGATTTATGTTTTTGCATCTTACTTTGGATATAGCATTAAAAAATTTAAAATTTTCATTAAGTATAATTGTAGAAGAGACATTTTTGACAATGAAAGTACAAGGGGCACCGAAAAAGTTTTCAACAAGAGATTTTTAATTACGATAAATTGTGGAGTACGAATCATCTTTGACTCCCAAACATATGGTAGGCTACCAGTAACCTAAAACTGTAACCTAAAAGATTTTTTCAGGCTTGAATACTTGAATCAAGAATATTTTTTAGTCTTAAAACTGATTTGTACACCACAATTTACAGTAATTCTGTCTAGTCATTTGGTCAGATTTTGAGTAGTGGGTTAGCCTGAGAACGTTTTAGAATTTCTTTGTATGTACTAATAAAAGATTGTACCACCCTTGTGGTATATTAATAAATAAAATATATAAATAATATTAATAATTTATAATATAAAACATTAATACAAATTAATAAAAATCTGGCTTTAGAAAAATATTTTAATCATATGAGTTTATAACATTATTCAGTCATCAAATATTTTTCCACATTTTTATGACCTTATACCACCTTTCAGGTACATTATTACAGAAGAATTATTGAATATGTTTTAATTTGAGGATTTTTTTTCAATATCTTGAACTTGCTGGAACCACTAATTACACAAGAGCTATGGTGACAGATCAGAAGAATATGATGCTTGTAGAATTTCATAAACTAGCTCCATACTGCATTTGTAATATGAAGATATTTTTATTTTAATGTATCATTTAAACAAGCTAATTGTTTACTGTAACATTTTGTTCAGTTTCCAGCAATTTATAATAAAAAATCCCCTTTAAATCACAAACACAGAGAACTTTTCCAACCGATCAGTAGATTCTGTTTAGATTGTAATGTTGAGACTGCTGGATCCAGTTATAATTTTTTTAGTAATAAATCCATGTTATGTTGCCAATGACCATCTTGTCCAAAAATGACCATGTCAAGGAAGAGAAAGGCAAGTGGTGTTCTGTAAATTCATGTACAATGCATTTTGCTCAATTCTAAAAATTTCCCAAGGCTTGTAAATGAAGTGATACAATTAACTGATTACACAAGCAAGCAGTAAAGAGCTGGTTAAATTTCATTAACATTTCATTTCTATGATTTCCCTAATATTATGGAAAAGACTGAAAGTTTTACATCAACCTAATACAATATTTAACTGAAAGTGACTTGGCCACCAGTTAATATTGTTTAAAGTTAACAAAAATATAGAAAAAATTGTACTGGTTAGTTTTTGAATCATAATTCATTTTGTTATGATTACTTATATTTAACTTATTGGGAGCAGCCCACATTTTATCCTGCTGTGTTCTAACATCATTTGATAAAAAATATTAAAATAAATATATTTTATAATACCAACCTTCAGTCCATCAATATCTGACAAAGCTCGAAGGAATGAGTAAATACTGGTTGGAACAGAGCCTAAAGCAGTTACATTATTTCCTGAAAAAATATTAGAAAGTTAGAATTATTTCACATTTAATAAATATTTATACATGTCTATTTGTAGCTCCTAAAGTGGATGTTATTGTATTTTGCAGTATTTTGGTATTATATTCATGAGTACACTGCATGGAATCTTTCAATGAATGAGATTAAAGTGAAAAATAATATAAAATTTGCCGAATATCATTCTACAAATATACTAAATATACATTAAAGTTAAACAGAATATATTAATCACTACCATAAATAAAATTATTTAAAAAAAATTATACTTTGACAACCAATTTCAAAAATATATATATATATATATATATATATATATATATATATATATATATATATATATACACAAAGTTTTTTTTTTCTTCCATGTGGAAAGCAAAGTTTGTAAAAACTTATGGTATCTTTAAAAAGGAGAGACAAATATCATTAAAACATATCAAAGGTTGAGAACAAAAGTATAATCTCAATGCAAAAATTATGAAGATGATTGAGATAAAAAATAAAAAAGTAAATAAAAACAAAATACACTAATTCCATTATTTTACAGCTAATCTAAATAATATATGCTTGAAATTATTCAATAAGATATGCTGAAAAGTAGCAACATAATATTGAGAACATAGTTGTAAACCATCATTTATGTTTATTTGTAGTATTTTTATAATAAAATATTTGTATAGACATGTATATCAGTGTTCATGAAAAGTAACTGTGAAATGTCTGTTTTTCAGAACTTTTTTAAATAAATAATTCTAAGAAGAGATATTTTGATTTTAAAGAACATAGAAATGATGTACCTAGCTTATGAATAATTTTCCTCTTGTCAACATCAGGCTCATCAAGAAATTCTTTGATAACTTTTAACTTCTGGCTATAAAGACACAAGGAAACCTCTGAAAAAAAAAAAAATTGATTTTATAAATAAATAATTCTAATATTAAAAGAAAAAAAAGTTAAAGAGATGAAAGCAAATAAAATTTTAAAAGTTTAACGAAGTTTGGATTTAAACATATCTTTTTACTCTACTCCTGGAATGTAAAATTTTCTGACACCCAAATTTGGTAGTAAGCTGCATAAAGAAGTGATGTTGATTATGGAATTTGAGTTTTCATTTTATACTGCATCTTAAATCATCCAAGAAGTCTAAAATCTCATTGTGATAGATTGATTATTTTTACTATTTTAGTATGAATGCCTGAATGTAAACAATATGTATAAGTCTAGTATGTCATCATAGTAGAATTACTAAGTTGCCTCTCACTTAAAGATAAACATCAAAACACAGAGCATAAAATATGCTTGTGGTTTGAATAAAAGGACAGAGGAAACTTGAACATTTCTAGGAAGAAGCACAATCAGTGGAAGTCGTAAGCAGAAAAAGGATAGAAATCCAGCAATTGTATTTGGATGGCTTAGTCAAAACAGATTTTTAACAGTTCTACTACTGGTACATTGGGAAAGAAAGTAATCAAGGCTTAAAACCCCACATATTAATTTCCCTCAAGCTCGCTTTTTTGGCAGGAGTCGCTAGTTCATTTTATCTAAACTGCAATGTTGAAGAAGCAACCTGAAATATTTGTGGTACTTATAAGACCCTTTAAAAGATAAATTGCTAAAAGATGGTTAGAATGGTTGATTCTAATGAGGCTATGCTTTTGTCTGAACAAGAGAAATAATACCATAATTGTTGAAACATTAGCTCAAAAATTGAATTGAAGTCATTCAACAATTTACCAGTGTCAACAACTTGGAAACGTGTCTAAAATTGAAAAATGCATTCCATGTTTTGACAGGAGCTAACTAATGTAACTGGGAACTAATGGAAGCACTGTTTCAGCTATTGTTCAGACACACAAGTACCGTGTTGGCCATATTGTGTATGTGTGAATAAAAAACAAAGTATTACTTCTGCAGATAGAAGTCACCAAACTGAACTGCATCATCATTGTTATTAAAGACCCCCTTACCAAGTTGTGACACTAACCATGAAGCAAGAGTAGACACCTGCATTTCTCTACTGTACAGAAACACAGGTGTCTACTCTTGCTTTTTGGCCAAATGCATATCAGTATTATTGGCCAAATTAGTGACTGTTGAGGAAAAAATAATTATTTTACAAGAATATAAAGTATGCAAATAGGGAATTTGTAGATAAAATAGGCATTACTTATGGAATTACTCAAGGAGGAATAAAACTTGGTTCACTCTGATGAGAGCATTACAGGACAAATTTGTGTGTGGTTTAGATAATGAGACATTCAAAAGACTTATCTGAGGACATGTCACTTGGAAATGCTTTTAAAGTAGCTCAGGCCATGGAATTGGCTGCTACTGATGTGGTAAACATTAATAATAGAATGACATACATAAAATGTCTATAAGTCAGAGTTCTTTGAAATTTCAAAAGAGAAAAAGAGTTTATTTTGAATGCTGGCGAGAATGACACAAAAAGCATATAGAGTGTCCAGCATGGGGCAAAAATTGTTTTGTCAAAATAAGCATTATTTTTTAAGACAGTGTAGAAACAAACAATGGGCAAAGCTGTCATACTACATGCAAAAACAAAACTCACTAGATATATTGTTATATAGGGTTAATTCGAGTTAAATAGAATCACTTGTGAAATGGAAATCAGCCATAGGCATTCATCTCTGTTAAGCAAGGAGCAATTCAAGAAACTACTGAATGCAGTGTTTTCTAAAAAGTGTGTAATAAGTGCATACTTATTCTGGGTATATCATTGAGCCTAGGGGAGTTGCCAATGTGACTGTGAGACACCAGAGGAAAAAGAATGATGGTTGTACCCACATCGGGACCCAATCTTCTGGGATGGAATTGATTGGAAAGATTATCAATTAATCTAATGGCTACCTGTAACCAAATTACATGGACCAACTTAGAGTGAGAATTTTCTGAGCTTTTTAGAAAATTTCTTAGAAATGAAAAATGCAAGTTCAGAAAATTGTCAGTAGTTTATCTGGGTCACAGGATTGATTCTAAGAGGAATTCATCCAACCCAGGATAAGGTTAATACTATTTAAAGAGCAATGACACCAAAAAATAGATTGGAACTGCGCAGTTATTTAGATTTTCTTAATTATTACCACCAGTATTTAAATAACATCAGTACTGTTCTAGCTCCACTGTATTCATTATTAGAAAAAGGAATCGCCCGGAAATGGGGAATAATTGAAAAATTTGCATTTGAACAATCAAAAAGTTTATTAATGTCAGCTGATGTTTCAGTTCATTAAAACCCTAAATTTAAACTTATAATGACCATGGATGCATTCCCAGTTGATATCATGTCAGTTTTGTCACATTATGGTGGATGGAAGGGAAAAACCAATTTACTTTGCCTCAAGAACATTGTCAAAAGCTGAACAGAACTATGCACAGAAAGAACATGAAAGACTAGAAGTAATTTTTGGAGTGAGCAAATTCCATGAATACATTTACATTTAAAAAAAAAAAATTTTCTGGTGATCTCAAAACTTGACTACTGCATGTCCTGGCTTGCTACTGTCTTTTTTTCACAAGCAACAACTGGTCAGTCCTCAGCCATGTTGTTAATAGGTCAACAGCCCACATCTCAACTTGACCTGGTGTATCCAGATTTATCTGCCAAACTCACCATGAAATGGACAACACTAAAATGTTGATGGATAAGGAAGCAATAGGAAAACAGATTCTATCTGGGAGATGCTGTAAAGATTATGAACTTTCAAGGAAAACCAAAATGAATGTCTGCAGTTCTAGAGGGGCAACTTGGCCTGCTGACTTTTCTAGTATGGCTGGAGGATGGGTGTGTATGAAAAATACATGTTAATCATATTCATGTGAATATTGTAACTGAACTAGATACATGCTCAAAAGGAGCTAACCAACCAAGGAGAACTCAGACACATGTTTTGAAGGGACACTCAGCATTGACTACACAGCACTATGTACCCTACAGAGATAGACTGAGGGAGGAAAATCAGCAACCCAGAACACTCGTCAAAACATGTTTCAGAAATACAAGTAAACAGAGAGAAGTAGGGCTGAAGGTGAGCCCAAGCAACCGCACAGAGGCATAAAACTAGACACCACAGGAAAGTGATGCAGTACCTGACAATTAGCAAAGGAACTTGCTGAAAAGGAATCACCAGAAGGTGGTGGTAGTAGTAGTAGTAACTATGACAGGAAGTGAAACAATTCTTGCTCCTGATGACTTGTTTCCTTAGAGTTCTTTTGAAATGCCCATGGACATTCCCACCGAAGTAATAGTTTGTGATAATCATATTGTTTAATTAAATTTTGACTAATTGAGGAGAGATGATGTAACTGGGAATTAAGGAAACAGAAGCACTGCTTCAAGTATTTTTCAGACACAGAAGTACTGTGTTGGCCATATTGTGCATGTGTGAATAGAAAACAGGAGTATCGCTTCTGCAGATAGAAGTCACCAGACTAAACTGCATTGTCATTGCTATTACAGACACTCTTACCAAGTTATGATACTAACCATGAAGCAAGATTAGACATCTGCATTTTTCTACAGTCTTGGGAATGCATCTTAGTATTTTTGGCCAAATTAATGACTGATGAGGAAAAAATAATTATTTTACAAGAATATAAATAATGCAGATAGTGAATTTGTAGATGTGAATAAAATGGCCATTACTAATGGAATTACACAATGATGGATCGTAGCTGATAGATTCCTTGTACTAAAGAACTGATAGCAATGAATTGCAGTCATTGTTTGAAATTTTAGAGTGTTTATTTTTTTCATGCTCTGCTATATAGTAGAAAAGTTGTCAAAATTTTCATGCTAGAATTATTGCTTTGGTTTCCAAACATCTATGTAGTTTGTCCTCAGAAAACAGTTATTGTTATACAATGCAAAATACACAGTAACAACTTCTTATAACTTTCTAATAAGTAGGAAAAATGAGTACTCAAAAGACTATGAGGAAACAAAGAAGAATTCTGTAGAAATAAGTAAAATAAAAGACTCCTAATTCTATAAAAAGTCATAAATATATAAAAAAATATATTAAAAATTTAATCAATTATGAACATCACATTTAAAATAAATAAGAGAGTCCTTTTAACTACACTGGAGATGTATGGAATGTTCTAGATTTAAAATTACTTCAAATTAATTATTATAAACAAAATTAAAAACCTTAATTATAAATAACACAAAACAAATGACACTGAATGTGTAAAATGAGATGTTATCTTATTCCACAGATGTCAAATGAACTAACCCATCCTTGTTCTTCTTCTCATGACATATGCTTTCATGTGAGAATTATTATTTACATTTAAATAAATGACTCTACTGAAATTCCTTTGCTTTTAAAATATGCTAATGAACATTAATAAGATGTCTAAAAATTCCAATAAAGATCTTTTGTAGATTTTTTGAAAAGAGTAAAAATTTGCATTGGTGACATTGAAATCGTTTTATTGGAATACTAGCTTAAAAGCTGCACTTTGTTTGGACTTTTAAGCTAACTCCTGTGGCGAGTTAATTGAACCTCTGGTCCAAAGCTAAAGGATAATTTTGAAGAAATAATTCTGAGTTCCTCAATTCACTCCATGGAACTTCAAAACCTCATTTTAATTCTGATTCAAGCTATAGGTCCAATTACGGACAAAAGACTGATTTGAACTTCACATCGAAAACTGAGTTCTTCAAATCACGAACTTCATGGAACTTCAAAGCATCATGTCATGAAACCTTTCACTTTAACTCCAATTCCTTGGTATTTTAAAGAAATAAAATTGATTTACCCAATTCACAAACTTTTGGAGATATATTAAACTGAGTTTAAAACAAAGATTTTTAAATTCCCAAAACTTTTGTGTTACATTAAGCACAATATAAATTAAAAACTTTTAAAATCACTAATTTCTTTTCAGTTACTTTAAAATTTGAATTTTTAACTGTTTCGTCCTCATCTGGATACAAATCTCAATGCTAGATGTTCAAGCCCCAAATGGGTGGATTTTCAATCCCGGAATCATCTGGATTCCAAAAAGCTACAATATGTCTATGTAGAGCAAGTGTGGCCCAAATTAGAGGTGGCTTCAGACACATGGATGGACAGACAGACAGACAGAATTTGCCGCTTATTTAGTTAGATAGCTGAAGAGAGGAGAAATTTACAAATAATATAATAAATAAAATATTTAATTTACTGTTTTTGAGAATATGATTTTCCAAAAGCTTCCTCTTCATAATAAATCATAGTCTCAATCAATTTATCCAGAAATCTTTCTGTAGGAAATGGACTTTCTGTTGTGTTCAAGACCAAGTGAATTGCTTGTGCCTGTAGATATGCACCCAGAATACCCAAGTTATGTGTATGAGTCAATTGAGTAATCTTGTCAGTGAGTTCCTGGAGAAATAAAAAGAAAAAAACAATTTAATTAAAATATAAAGTTGATGAAAACATTCAATAAAATAAGTATAAAGACACAAATGAAAACTGTAAGCTGATAAGTATTTTTTAGTAACATTAACTTGGGGTCAGGAAGTGTTTAGCTCATGGTATACCATTGTTTGGATATGATCAAGTAAAAAGAAAAGAAAAAAAAGTATTGAGGCTTGAATCAAAAACCAAAATAATAGAGGGCTGAAATTTAATGAGTAAAATAGTGAGTGGCACTACTGGGATTCAATCCCAGAGTTAACTTCTATGACTCATTTGGTTTCACTATTACAAACCATGCAAACCTCATTCTGGGGATCCTGCCAGGTTGGTAAATACCTCTGAAGTGAACATAGGCAATCTGAATTTCTTTTTTATATAACAATATGCTGAGATAAGATAAAAGACAAATTTAGGTGAAAATACATTCATATGAAATGAAGACAGCTTAAATCAGATTTCACACATAAATTGCAAGAATATTATTTTGTGTATATATATATATATATATATATATATATATATATATATATATATTTCATTAAAGACAGTTTAGCCATTACTGTGGATGGCTTTTATTTTTTTAACTGAATGTGTGGATCTAGAGTTATAGGAATGTTTTATTTTCCAAACAGGGTCACCACATTGTGGCCATGTTTATATTTGTTATTATTGAGTGTTTGCTTTTTCTTTTTTATTATTAGTGCTTCCATTATTAGTCTTTTTTTAAATGTGGATGAGGCTATTATCCTTGTATCTTCTACAAGTATGTTGTGGATGGAGTTTGGTTGGTATCACTGTGTGTTTAAATGGATCCTAATTGAGAGGTTTAACATGAATCTTCTCTATAAGCATATGTAGTGATATGTCTAATTATTCATGAGTTCCTTCAGGGGTATGTGAATTCATAAATACTATTGGTTCTCTGTAATTTAGATCTTGCAGGTGTGTTGTTATTGTTGATGATAAGGTTAGGTGTTTTAAATTTTTTATAGAAGTTAATTTAATTTTCTTGTTCTATCCAACTGGGGTTGTGTATTTCTTTATAACGTTTCTAAGACCTGAGAGATCATCTCATGGCAAAGGATCTAAAAGACAGCATTCCTCACAATAACTATAACAATATTCTAACAACAAAACTCAAACTGCTGCAAAAGAATTAAAAAACAATTTGAATATTGCCATCAGATAAGCTGATAAAGCTAACACATATGTAATTTTAAACAAAGTAAATTATCATAAAAAATTATAACACATCATTGATGACCTATCTAAATTAAATAAAAACATCATAGAGACTCTAAAAAATCCGTCAACAAACTTATAACATCAAAAAATGTAGGTGCCTTGAAAATCAACAAAGTCATTGTAGATTACCAGTAGGATAACTATACAGAAAAGTTAAAATACATAAACCCAGATATCCACTATGACCCATCATTTCACAGGACCCACCACTTATTTATCAGTTGTGAAAATTCCTTAATGATATCATTACTCCATATTTACCTACCAATTATAGCATCATATCAACTCATGAATTTCTTCATATCTTCCAAAGTACACAATCCAACCAAGGCATTTTAGTATTACTTAATGTAGAAAAATTTATTTACAAACATCCCTGTCAATGAAAGCATCGATATAATCCTTCTATCAAACTTAATATTCTCAAGAAATTATTGCCTGCACAACTAAAGCCCCCTTCTATAACCATAATGGCAATATCTACACTCAAACTAATGGTGTTAGTATGGGAAATCCATTTGATTCATCTTTCTCTAACATGTGCCATGTAGAAAAAAAGATATTTAAAAAAGTTACTAAACCCAAAATATACGTCCACTATGTACATGATATTTTTATTTTACCTGAAAACAAAAAAGAAATTGATAATTTCAAAACCACATTTGAAAGATTTTGTCTTTAACTTTACCTATGAACTGAATCAAAAAAATAAACTCCCATTCTAAGATGTTCTCATAGAATTCAGTAGTAATGCATTCACTACTTTGTTATACAAAAAACCCACAAGTAGAAACTCTTACCACCTCCGCCTTGAGAAAACCTCTCAGATCTTAGAAACGTTATATAGAAATGCACAATCCCAGTTGACCAGAACAGAGTGCGATGGATAAATTGTCATCTAAATTATGAAAATAACACTGATATCTCATTTTAAAAGATATATTTATCAAAATTACACAAAAATATCTTGAAATACTAAAGAGTAAATTTATTCAATAAAATTGCCTTTGGCTTCAATCTCAGTCTCCAGACAACTTCGGAATCTCCTGTAACTTTTCTGGGAGGTCTCCTTGTTTAAGTTGGTGAATGCTGCCATAATCCTTGCCTTCAGTTCATCTTTGGTGTTGCAAGGTGTTTTGTTGCTCTCTTGCTCAACTGTGCCCTGCACATAATAATCAAGGGGGTTGCAGTTTGAGAAGGTGGCCAAATTGAAGGGGTGATGTGGTTGCAGAAATTGTCTGACAGCCATGACTGCGTTCTCCTGCTTGTGTGACATGGTGCAACAGCTACCTTCTTGACCTGGGGCAGCACTACCTCTTCAAGGCACTTGATGTAGGTCTCCGTGTTAACCACATGTCAATCAGGCAAGAACTTCACTGTCCTTGGCGCCCGCAAAGCTCAGGAAATATCGAGAGACAACATCGCACGATGAAGAACACACTTTATATGTTATGCGAAGACAGGAACTGTGAATGGACAGACGTTCTAGAATCTGTCATTTCGTCCATGAATGCCACAACCAACAGCGCCACCGGTGTCTCACTGCACTATGCCATTACCGGCCGTCACCCCAACATCGGCCTACCTACACTACACAGAAAAGAAATCACAAGCAACGATCCTAGAGCATATGGAATGCAAATTAATGCCCTGCTAAAGCAGGTTCACCACCACGTCACCCTGGCCAACGATGAAGCTGACCACAAACTTGAGACTAACTTAAATCGCCTCACATACAAGGACCCAATACAAGTAGGCGACAAGGTTTTACTTCATCGGCCACACTCAACTGTAGCCCAATCCTCTCATCTGCCCTGGATAGGAAATTACACCATTATAAAAACGAACAATATGATGTGTCAGGTGCAAAACGATGATGGTGATAAAATCTGGATTCACCGTGCACATATCTGACGACTGGCTCCACGCCCAACACATCTTTCTAATACAATCCCTCTGCCTCCACCATGTAACAGTCACCAGGATCATTCTCCTCCACATCCCTCTGGGACGCATAATTCAGCAAATAACTCCATACCAAAACAAATGCCAATAAGGAGAACACGAGGACAACTTCCCACACGCTTCAGAGACTTTATCATGAATTAATCACCCAAATATACACGAATAACGCTCACTGTAAATCAGACCAAGATCTGGGGGAGCCTTGTTATAAAATAAAATAAGACATATCTTGGCTGATTTACAAATACTCAAGAGCAAGAGCCGGATGTGAATGGGACAAAACCCCGTCACAAAATGACCATTATCTTCGTTTACAAATGTTCCCGACACACGTGTTCTGGTCGAAAAATAAAATAATATTTAAAGTGTTCTATTTTTCGTCCAATAAAAATGCTTCCCTCCTAATTATACTCGCTTCGTTTTTTGAGCCTGTTAAGCCATAAAAAAACGCTATAAAAGGGGTCACACGGAAGTTCAACAGGCAGTCCACAGGTGCCCAGGGTAGAGACCTGTCACGGTCAGCAGCTGACAGCAGGAGAGTATCAACCACCATCAACATGTGTGAACTACTATGAGATATCGACCTAGATCCAAAGCCAGCTTATGAACTATACCACAAGGTAGCTGTTCCAAACCCACACGTTCCTGTTGAAATAAACCACGTAAATCTATTTCTACTGTTGTCGTATTTCTTTCTTGCAACCATACGCTTGTCTATAACATGTTCGGGCAACTTTCCAAGATAACAAACAGTTGAATAACATGAATTCAGTTTTTGAGTTGTTTAGCAATTATAGTATTATTTCTATTAAGTTTAGACAATAATAGTCAATATTAAAATCAACAGAATGACCTGTTCATAGCCCATCTCTTTTCTAAAGGTTACATTTTCTAAACCTTTCAAACAATCTGTGATAAATTTATTTACTTTAAAGAATCTACTCCATGAATTGTATCATAAAAGTGAGTGTCAGCTGGGACTTTGGCTTAAAGACATTCAATACAAATGGTGCCAGGCACATATCCCATAGGTTTTCTTCAGCTTCCATGGGATATGGAAGGAGACGACCCAGCAGAATTATCTGGGTGTGCGATGTTGTCTGGAGAACTGGCAATGTATGGTAAGACCAATAAATAACAATTCCAGTTGTTTTGGAATGACTGTATGATTTGATCATGGAGGATACTCCCTAAGAACTTCAGTTGTCAAAAAGGTACAATGCAAGCTGGTGATGGTTCCATAATGGCATGGAGTGTATTCATTTAGCACCAATAAATGTAAGGGAGCTGTAGGCAGATGAAGATCCAATGACAATACTTCTCCAGAGATTTTCTAACCATTTCTGGAGCCAGTGCTATAATGAGTTACTGCACTTTCCTAAGCTAGAAGGGATTGTATAGGATACTAGGCATTTATCCAGTGACTTATTTAAAACTGTATTGACATGTACTAATATGTATTATTTCACCATTTTAGAACCACATAAATAGCATTCAATTTATCATAACAAGATTTTGGACATTACACATGAAGTTAATGAATGTCAGATATGAAGAAGTAGCTGTATTTAGAGATGAAGTTGAAAGCAAATATGCACACAATAAATGTAAAATATCAAATAAAAACAAGTGTACATCCTATTTACAGAAAGTAACTAAAAAAATGATTAAATATTTTGGAAAAAAATTTCAACAATGTTTGGAATACCTAATTAAATGTATACATTGAAAAACATATCAAGATTTATTATCTATATTGACAGAAGTATCTAAGATTTGAGAAACCTCAAGTAACTAATATTAAAAATATATCAAAAAACAATCACTTAAATAATTAAGAAACTATTGCTGATGCTAATATCAATTGTCCGAGAAAGCTGCTTTGAAAATTGGTTGCAGGATGATCCAGGTTTAAATAAAGGAATGATGCTTTATGTTGGAAGACGCAAATTTGATATAAAAAAAGTTACTAGTATTTTTATGGACACTTTACAGTTGGTAGCTGAAGATAATGCTTTCCCAATTCTATAGGAGAATGGACATCAAATTGCAAATATCTGTCACTGTCAAACCAGTCAAAGAATGTCTTAATTTGCAATCTGTGACTATGAAGAGAAATGATCTGAAATATCCATACAAATTAAATTCATAACTTCCATGTTAAAAAAATTCTATTAAAATTACTATAAATAATGATTATTACTAAATTCCTTTATTTCTTGAGTATTTAAGCATTATTTAATAACATTGCAAACATGGAAAAAATAACACAAAATTTATCAAATCTTTTAAAATTTTATTAAATTAAAAAATCTTACCATGAAAATTTTTCTATTTACATACTAAAATGCTACAATATAGTTAAAAAAAAAAGAAAAAACAGAAAAGCAATATTTTACAGTTTTATATTTTGTGATTTTGACTCCTGTGATTAAAACTAAATTAAATCAATTTTAATTCTTAAATCAATTTTCAGAAACATTTGAACTTATAGTATTCAAACCTTTTTAATAAATCAATTTCAGTAATCAATATAAGTGTATTAGATGTTTTACTTCTATTTTTTAATAGTTTTCATACTTCCATTTTTAAATAAGTGGAAAAGAAATGTTCAAACCCAAATATAGCCATGACTATGAATTGAATGAAAATAATTTGCTTAAAATATTCACTAATTCCCATTTCTTTGTTATGATATGAGGTTTATCAAAACTGAATTCACTTTTATGTCAATCCTTTAAAAGGATTTCTAGTACAGTAGTCCACTGCTATTAGACAAACCAGTTTACCACGGTACCTGGTGTACCACGGGTGGGTGGTGAACCCCAAGATTTTGCTCTTGTACCCTCAATATTACTCACTTTTTTTAGAAATTCTACCCTATTTTACCAATTTCTTCTTCACAATAGAGAAAACAAACATCAAATGGGTCCTAATTTGTTTTAATAATTACACCCCTTTTTCACATTTTACCTTGATTTTGATGATCAACAGCCCAAATTTTGTGAAATTTTAACACCGCAGCCATTTCACACCTAATGAAATTGTATTGGTTATAATTACACGTGATTACTTTATTCCTATAATATCGGACTAATTAACAGGAATTCAATCACTGCAATGGTTGAGGTATAAATAGGAGTACTTTTCTCTGGTTGATCATGTTCAATTTGACTGTCCAACAGAATAAGAATCTCTCATAAATAAACAAATATAAATAGCACATAGTAATTAGGGGTTGAAATTGGAAATTGCAAGAGGAAGTACTTTTGAAGATGGTTAAAATTTACTGTATAAAAAATCTACTGTAAAACAGTGAAATAAGTTGAAATTTTAGGTAATTTGCTTTTTCAGCCCTACTCTAAGTATCTAATAAAAATTTCCTGAATACTTATATCTATGTGTAAATTTACATGCTTAATTTGAAAGTAACAAAGAAATTTTGATAAAATCTATCTTTTTGGAGTTATTGACAATAAAAGTTTGAACTCATTTGCATTGTGGCAGCCATTACTGGCATTGTTTGCAAATATTTACTGCAGAATAGGCATTCACTTATCTTGATTATTGTGCACACACTGATGCAAACAATGCCAACAATGGCTGCCCTGCTGTAGCCAACAACGACATGAAGGAGTCCGAACTTTTATTATCGATAACTCTAAAATAGATTTTATAAAAATTTCTTTGTCATTTTTGAATTAGGCATATGAATTTGGAATAAAAAATAACTGTTTGGGAAATTTTTATTAGATACTTAGCACAGGACTTAAAAAGCAAATTACCCAAAATTTCTATGGAATTATTGGCATAAATTAGTATAATTTTTGAGGTTCTTTTCAAGCCATTATCTATGGTATATATCATGAAATAGGGCAAATATGGTCCCCAAATCAGGTAGGTGTTCAACCTCTTATTATCAACCACTCCTCCCAGCTACTGCAATTCACTTGCAGTGCAGGTTGGTTATCATGGACACCAAGGACTGTGCTATAGCATTGGACTACTGTATATGAATTCTCTTACTAACTCACCTTCAACTTTTGTGAATTTTCATTATACATAAACAAGGCAGCTGGGGCAATTCGCATCCCTCCTCCGTTTCCATAAGAACCTGCTCCATTAAACTGCTGCCTGGCTGGCAGAAAAACATCTTCCAAGTGTTTTGAAGACCAATCAGAAAATATTTTGGTGACATGTCCACCATAATTCCGATAAATTTTACTAGCAAAGTATTCCTTTGCAAATCTGTCAAAAGAAAAAACATTTCTTAACTGATTATCTAATGAGCCAAAATATATTACCAAAATATATTACCAAAAATATTCTATACATAGGATTTAAATTCTAAAATAATATGATGATAAAACCTTAACTACTATTATAGATCTATAAACCAAAATGAACAAATTAAAAAAAAAATTATTTGGTTACTTTTATTAAAAATATTTCAAGTATTCAAAACTTTAAATGATAAGAGAATATATACCTATACTGATGTATCAAAAGTTATAGCAGATGTGAAAATAACTGTCCATGATGCCATATCAGTTGAACTGACAAATGGTTATTCAGGGTGAACAGAGACTAAGTTGCTCATGGCAAAGCAACTATTTCTGAAATACTTTTAATATTTGGTATCCCTTGATCTACAGTGTCACCTGTGCACTGAGGATATGTGATAGAAGACATTACTGTCCATTGTGGAGAGCACAGTGGCTAACCACAGGTTCATAAATATCATGACCATCTGGCTATCTGTGGTAACAGACAAGCAATATTGGCTCAAATCACATCCAGTACATACCAAATGTATATCTATTAAGTCAGTTCAGTGTTTCACTTGGGCTTGTGATGTTGCTAATTGAATTCTGGTTGACTGGCAAATGTTTGGTAAGGTCCAATAAGTAATAGTTCCAGTTGTTTCAGAATCATTGTAGGATATAGTTGTGGAACAGACTTCATAACAACCCTAATTGTCAACAAGGCATAGTGCAAGATGGTGATGATTCCATATTGATGTATAGTGTATGGATTTGGTTTGTTGGTTTGTTTAAACATGTCATTGGCCAATTAATTTAAATGCAATGTCAATTGTTATCTTCTTAATTCCTGTTATTTTATTATGTTATTCTCCTCTCTCCTTAATGTTTTTTATTCTCATATTCTTTTATATTCAGTAACCCCTTATGTCTTAGTGGCTTTATTTCCTTGATTAGGGGGAAATGATGTGATAAAAAAAAGAAAAATGTTACTATTAAGTTGAACTGTTTTGTTACCATTTTCCCACATTCATAAACACCATGTACCCCAACAATGATAAGTTTTACCATAAAGTTGTACACCATGTCATCAGGTTCAAATTACTTGATTTGACTTCAGTATGTCTCCTGGCATGCTATGCATTTACATGGATCTTCATCTTTTAGGAGAAAAGAATGTGTAATATTGGTATGACCAATTCTGATTCTTGTTATGACTACTACTTCTCTTCAGGAAAGTCTGGTGTTATGGTGTCTTATCCCAAGTGTAGGTTTGATTTTGTGCAATTTATTATTTGGGTGAGTATTCCATAACTCTTGCCACTTATTTAAGACTAGCAGTAGAGCCCGACGTTGCCCGGGGATGTAACAGTAAGAGATAGATCAAGTATCGACCATCATAAAGACTGAAAAATAAAATTGACAAAGATTATTGTTTAAGGTTGACGGATACGCATGTCTTAATTAGTTTTTTTTGTTTTTTTTTACGAATTGGTCAAACCCAAACTCAAACAAAAACATTGTTTCCAATCGTTATGAGTCTACCCATTGAATAGAAATTTATTATAAACAATTGTATTGTAAATTGAATTTTTAAAGCATTATGAATGTAAAAATAAAGAAAAAAGTGTGCAAGACAATAAGAAACACTACCTGCCAAAAAAAAGTGAAGTTTTGTTGAAATCGGTAGAAAAATTTAGGAAATCTGATCCCATATATAAAGGAACACACACACACACAAACAACCTGGGTTTTATAATAAGTATAACTTGATATGAGTTGTCCCCCTTTCATTTTTGCGATGCCTCTTAATCATATTTTCAAATTGATTTCGTGCAAAAATAATTGTGTTTTTCCAATTTTTGCCGCTGTCAGAACCACCGCAAGGTAATTTTACGTAGTCCTGTAAAGTTTTGTTGAAATTGGTTGAAAAATGTAGGAAATCCAATCCAATATATAAACGTACAGACACACATACACACACAACCTGGGTTTTATAATAAGTATGATATTTGTATTAATAGTTGTTTTGAAATCTGTGTAAAGGACTTTTGTTGTTTGATATATTAATTTTTAATGATTCTTTAGCTGCCTTATCTGCCTTTCCATTTCCCTGGATGCCTATATGGCTAGAGATCCATTAAAATATGATGTGTTTTTCATTACCAAGTAAATTGATTTTGTTTAAAAGTTTGACTATAATTGGACAAGTTTTATACTTCAGTGATGTAAGGACAGATAGGAAGTCTGAGAACATAATGAATCTGTCTGACTCACCATTTTTGTAATGTCCAAAGTTAAGTCTATTGCCAAAGCTTCTGTGCTAAAAATTGAGGAGTTGTCAAATAGGCACTTTTGAAATAGGGTTTTGTTCAGTATAGCTACAACATACAACCATATCAATGTTTTTGGAGCCATTGGTGTATATATTCTTACAATTTGTATATTTTGTAGTATAGTATGAATTTCTTCCATGAATACAATTGTATCAGTTTCAATTTTGGAGTGTTTTGCCAGCCTTAATATTACAGTGTGTTATTTTATTAACCAGAGAGGAGTTTTTGAGAGAATAGATTCAAGTATTAGAGAAGGATTTATTTTGAGTTCTTTGAAATCATTTTCTATATGGATGCCAAGAGGTTTAAGGGCATTTTCCTTTAAGCTATAAAACTCTTTGTATTGAGGTTGGAAAACACAGCTGTAAGCCAAACTATTTGGGTATGAACAAAGCTTGGTGTAATATTGCAGTGCCAATTTATGTTGTCTTAATGCCAAAGGTAGCTCATGTGCTTCAGCATATAAACTTTCAATGAGCGACGTATTATAGGCTCCTAAAATGAGTCACAGACTCCGGTGATGGATGGGGTTTAGTTCTTTCATGCATGATTTTCTTGCCGCAGCACTGATAAAGTATCCATAATTCAATTTGGATCTAACTAATGTCTAGTTTCAGTAATATCTGTCTGTCAGCTCCCGTCTTTGTGAGAGATGACTGAGTAGATGTATAGCTTTATTGCATTTCTCACAAAGGTATTTCATATGTAGTATGAAGGATAATTTTTTTATCAAAAATTATTCCTAGGTATTTGTATTGATTTACTATAGTCACTTCAAGTCTTAATTCAGGATTATGGTGGAACTTTCAAAGCTGTTGTACACATTGAGATTTTTGTTTGGAGAATCTGAATCCATTTTCTGTGACTCACTTGTTTGCTCTATTGAGACACTCTTGGAGTTATTGTTCAATTGTATAGAATTTTTTTTCAATCTGCAACATAGAAAATTATCTACATACAATGAACATTTAACAGGGCTCAAGCATTTAACAATGCCATTTGTTTTGACATTTATGTCAAAACAATATCAAAGGGACTTTTTCCTGAGCAATTTTATGGATCATATTCCATACTGTTTTGGTTTTGGTATTAAAATTAATAGTGGACACAAAGTTCTTCCATGAAGATCGTTTGGATTCTTTAATTGTTCTGTGTGCTTTAGCTCTATTTTTCTGTAAATGTTCAAATGTACTTATTTTTTACTTACTATTTCCTGGATCCTTACTTACCGTTTGGCCATGTCTTGTGCATCAAACCCTTTATGTTTAAGAAGGGAGGCTTCAACACTCAGCCGCATTTCAGTGTCATCTGTATAATGGAGTATTTTGGCATTCTTCTTGCTTTTCTCTACAATAGAAAATAATTAATCATGAATTATTAGTAGCATAAGTTGTCAAAAATGGATAATTTACCATTTCTCACTTTTTACAAGGAAATAATTAGTAGACTTCAATATTTTTCCTATAAATACACAATTTAAAAATAAAGTAATTTGAAATAAGTACTTAGAATTGAATGGACTGAATAGCATGATCCAGAACAGAAAGGGAAATCCAGCTATGGTGAGAGTTGATATATTAGATATATTATACTATATATACTTTATGCTAATTGTTAACAATGTCAGAGATATGTTAAGTATCTTAATAAGTCTTCAGCCTATGATGCAAAAATAATTTTACAAAACAAATTCAATAATCAATGCAAAAATCTCTAAGATCTGGCAATCAGGTGAATGGCCAACAACATTCCCAGTCACTGATTATCAGTCTTCTCCCCAAAAAAGGCAATCACCTCCATTGTCTACAGGACTAAGAGTAACAGTGATTAGTTACACAAGTAATGTGATGGTGAAAATAATACTAAATAGATTAATGCCACAATTGGAATCACCACTTAAGAACAGATATTCAAATCTCTGGGTTCTGTGCAAAGAATACTCACAATACCAACAAAACCTGACATAGCCATAGAGTTAAAAAAAAAAGTTATTAACAGAGTTTTGTGGAAGGCATTGTGGACAACAATGAACAAATATAACATGGTTGAGAAGTTATCCAGCAACTCTGTATAATTATTTTCTATTTATTTAACAATTTTATTAAAAAAATCCTTTTTTTATTATTCATTGATTACTTTAATATTTATCATTTATGTAGATGTTTTAAAATAATTTCATGAGTGTTTTGATGCAAAACTCTTGAGTCAGTCAACCAGATAAGTCACTTGAACTTTCCATTTTTTTATTGAATAAATACATAAAAAAGAAAAATCGAGAAATATAAGCAGCACAATTCCAACATTCATAACATTTAAATTAAAAAATGGCTCAATACAAAGTAGAGTAATATTATTTATTTTAGGATATTACACCGAAAACATGTCAAAACCGCTACACAAATGCAGTCATGTTTTGATATGTATCAATGCATCTCATCAGGCAATTACTGGTGAGTGAATGATTTATTTATATTTAAAAACAAAATACAACCTCTTTTTACGAAAAAAGTGGGGGTTATAAGGTTTGTGGGCTTTACTCTATCAACCAATCAAATATGACCTACATTAAATTTAAACTAAGTGAAGAAGCAAAAATTAAAAAAATATTTTTTATAAATGATCTGTAGATGTAAACTTGTGTGGATGTAAGTGGATACATAAATTATACAATGCCATTTCCTAAGAAATAAAAATGAGGTGGAGAGGTAATTTAACAAAATGCTAAACAAGTTATGTGAGTTCCCTACATAAAATTTTTTATAGTTAATAAATAGCTTCTATTCTATACATTTAAATTATTTACTAGTTTTTAAAGCCATATATGTTGCATATATAAGCCATATATGTCACAATGCAACTAAAATATAAGAAAAAGCATAATCAAATTCCATGGTTTAACTAAATTGTAGGGTAAAAGGTAGACTATGTTTATAATTTACTGTTAATTCATTCCTTTGATTTAATAAGAAAGTTTTATTGAATCTGATAATTTCCAGTTTTTTATGTAAGTACAGAAAACAGGGTTCATATAAAGATCTACATATCCTTGCTGTTTTTAAAATTTTCCATTTCACCTTAGGAGTTTTATTATCATCTTTTAAACTCCAGGTATCAAGTTCATCATGTGTTAGTCCACAAACAATAATGGTTGGCAGGATACCTCGGCATGTAAAAGATCTTCACTCTTTCACAAACTCTGGTACATCAATCCCATGAAGATTTATCATCTAGAAGTGATTGCGTATTTGAAGTCAATGAATCCGAGGCTTCTAAAGACATGGAGGTTCCAGAAACTCTGGATACACCTGATGACACATCAGAAGATATGCCAACACACAGAGTGGAGATGGTCCCATTACAACAAAGCACCAGTGTAAAGAGAAGAAAATGGTGACTTAACATGTCAGATCAAGTAATATGTATCCTACATCAGAAGAGAAAGAAAGAGCTCACATGACCTCTTGTTTAAATATTAGAATTTCAGGCAAATTTTGGTCACACTTTCAATTAATCCCTGACTTCTTGAGATAGATATAAGCATGTGCAGCGAGTGGCTAACACATGACCCACTTGATACCTGGAGTTACACTGGCTGTGTGGAGTTTTCACCCACATTCTGTTCCCAACTCTGTACATGAAGTGATCCTTACAACAATCAGGTGGCAATGTTGTCATACTTCCCTTTATTCTAATGAATGAAATGGGCAATGCGTCTTTCTTCAGCATGATATTATGTCAGTATACTGCCTGCATTTGGACACCACAGTTATTCAGGAAATCTTTAAAGCAGTGTCATTGTTGGTCACGATTTCGGATGATGGATCAAATTAAAAAAAAATGGTTTCCTGCTGTTAAGTGATGTTTCTTGTGTCTTGCAGATGTCAACATATTGCAAATCAACTGGAGTCGCAGTTAATCAATGTAAGGTAGGTTGTCCACTGTAATGGGTGATATCCATTCCCAAACGGTTCCAGATTCCAGTCACTCTTACTTACTCGGAACTGGGTTAATTGACTGGCATTCTTTTCATTTTCTGACCACTTCCATGAGGCAACCTAAATCTTGTTTTGGTCAAAAATCAAGTTCTTCTATTTTAATAGTTGTGCAACAACATCCCATGCTTAGGAAACTATACATTGCTAAACTGTTATGTGGGGTCTGCCCAGCTCTGTGCAAGGACTTACTCCTGGAGGTTAGCATCAGCCATACTGAGGGAAGTTAAAAAAGTTCTCTAAGGCAGTTTTATTTTGGAGGTGTTAAAATTAACAATCCTCAGTTAGCAACAGATTGTAGGAAAATTTTAAAATCAGCTGAAAATTTGATTAAACTTATCATTAAGACAAGAGTAAATAGTTGTATCATCAGCATAGATACAAAGTTGAGAAGTGATGACATTTGGAAGATCACTGATGAAAATTAGGAACAACATAGGTCCAAGGATAAGGCCCGGGGGGGGGGGGGGCACCTGCATTAATGCAAAAAGATCTCAAAGAGTGGCCATTCAAGATAACTTTCATTTTGTGATTTGATAAGAAATATTGAATTAGATCATTTCATCTAGAAATAAAAAAAATTTCAACTTGTTAAGACCAGCATGACAAACTCTGTCAGATGCTTTTGACATATCCAAAAAGTAAGTGCTTGAGCTTTATTCATTTTTTTTTTTTAAAAACAGTTTTACCCCATGCAAAGTAGTAAAGCCACTAAAATACAAGGGGTTACAGAGTGTGGAAGAATTAGAAACAGAAACATTAATAATGAGTGGGAAGAGAAAAGAGTAATCAGGAGGGCAGTAAATAATGAAAAATTTTTGTTGACTGGAGCATGGAGCTGGTATAGAGTTCCACAAGTGAGAAGTGTGAGAAAAGAAACTTAGCATAGAACTTATAGCTACATCTAACCAGTTCAATTGTAAATTGATGACATCTTGATGCCAGTCTAGTACTATGTTTAAATTCAAAAACTTTAGGTACTATAGCAAAGAGGCTCATCTGAACAATTACCATGAAAGTGTTTATAGAAAAGGCACTGAGAAACATCATTTTGACAGTGGAAAAGTGAAATAATATTGCTGATTCTTCTTTGGATTTTATCAAGGAGCTCAAGGCAAATAGCAGGGGCACTGGACCATATGTAGCAACAATATTCTAAGCATGGATGAATGGTAGACTTATAAATATGTAAGAGAGATTCTGGAGAGTGAACCAAATTTCTTAGCAGCTGGCCTAGCAATGGATTCAATAGTCTTTCCACTTCATGTCAGTCCCAGAAGGAGCAACGAGTCACTTTCCTGGAAGTCAGCATCAGTCATGCTGATGGAAGGCAGAGAGGGTCCTCTCAGATGATTAATGGAGAGAAGTTTTGATTTAGTGACATTGAAATTAACAAGCCATCTTTTACCCCATTTAATTACAGACTTGAGGACGTATTGGACATCAGCTGCCATTCTGACATTGTTGAACTGATCAGCCTAACTATCAAGGCAGGAGTAAATGGTTGTGCTATCAGCATAGATACCAAGTTGAGAGCTAAATGTCATTGGAAATGTGATTAATAAAAATTAAAAACTTTCAAGATGTTCATTGCTACAGCCTGAGCTCCACCATTTTTATCTAGAGCATGATTGATACTGTCTGCAATTATCATTAGTACATCAGCAGTTGACCTGGAGAAATGAAAGCTTGTCTGAAGAAAGAAGCTTAATAGACTCTTTCAATAACTGTTAATACACCAGCAGTTGAAATAGGAAAGCAAAAGCCATATTGTTTGTCTAAAAGAAAACACTGCAAGATGAAATTTGGAGTTAAATTAGAGCCTCTAATATATTGACAAAAAGAGGCAGAAGGCTAATATGGTTTGTCTAAGTTCTTAAAGACAAGCAATATAGCTTTTGCTTCCCTAATTCAAAAAGAAAGTTTTTAATTTTCATAAATGACATTCCCGAAGCAATCAACACTCAACTTGGTATCTTGAAGATTTCGAACAAGCAGGAAAGTAAGAAGCAGCAAGACATTTATTGTAGAGTTTAGCTAGTTCAGAAGAACATTTCTTAAGGATTATTACAGGGATAACGCTTTCCTTTGTGGGTAGCAGACACCATGGACAGAGTTATCATAAAGTAGAGATCCAGGCAGTGCAAAGTTAGGCAAAGATACTCTAGGTGAATCAAGAGTAGAATTGGAATAGAATTTAAGAGCAAAACATTCTGGTTTAGGTACCTCCACTAGGTCGCGTAAAAAAGCAGCATCTCATGATGAAAAAAGGCCCATAACTCAACGAAAACAAAGTTTTGTCATCAAAATATTTAGGAAAGACCAAAGTATTTTTTTTATTATTTTTTGAAATTTTTTACTCCTTTCTAGTACATTGAAAATTTTGGTTAAAAATCTTGTTTTTTTTTTTTTCGACAGCATTGGAATAGAGAAAAAAAGGTTTGTTTTATTTTGTGCTTTTCCCGAGGAAAACACACTTTGATTTGGAAATTCTTGCAAAATTCAAGTAATTGTCAGATTTTAATGAAACTTTCAGGAAATATTCAAAAATGAATGAAATTATTTTTGAAATTTTTTTTTTTTTTTTAGAAAATCTTGGTAAAAATTTTTTTTTATACGTTTCATATTTTCATGAAATTTTAAGAAATTGAATTTTTAAGAGTGTGATTTTTTTTATTAGTTAAAAACAGGACTCTTTAGAGAAAGTAAATCATCAGTTTTTTTTTGGTTTTGTTTCCCGAGCGCTAATATCCATTAAAATTTTTTTTTTTTTTGGTAAGTGTAGTTTTATTTATAACAAAAACAAATTAAATAATATAACAGAACCTTTTTTTTCCCTTTTGAATAGCAAAAAAGATAAAAAAAAAACTACATTTCTTTATGGTAGTGCGTAGTGATTTTCTGCAAGGAAAGTCTGTAAAAGTAGTAAATAGGCCAAATTTTCTGATTACGCCGGCGTAAGACTCAGTAAATTAGTAAACATGATGGCAGTAATGGGGACGAATGACCAACATTTTTTCTTGTCAATAACTCCCAAATTATCAAGGATTTGTTAATTCGAGTTCAGCATGTACTTTTGCACGGAATTATGACGATTTTGGAAAAAAATTAACAAGGGATATTAGCGCTCGGAAAACAAAACCAAAATTTAACTTTTTTTTTTTTGTAAAACAGTTACCAGTTTCATCGAAAAACTGCTCTGAATTGTAAAAAAAAAAATGGAAAAAACTATGACATTATTTAATTAGAAAAGATTTTATTGTCTGAAGAAATAATTTATAAAACTTTTTCGATGAATAATGTATTTTTACAAGAATTTTTTTCACTTCAAAAATCGTTTTAAAATTCTTCGTTGCTTTTAAACTTGCAATTTTGTGATAAGTGAAAAGTAAATTTACGAATCGAAATTTGTAAAGCTTGTAACAGTCATTTGTACCGGAATATTTTTAAAATAATTTTTAGTGAAAAACGTTCCTAATTTCTATCTATGGGGAATCTATATACATGGCATAATCCTTAAAAAGGTCACGTGATTTGATTGTCGTCTGAGGCACTGCAATTATTTCCTTTCAATATCCAGTTCTGTTTCAAATCGTTCGGTTAAACGTGTTTGCAAAAAGTCCTTTCAAAATATCTAAGTTATTTTTAATTTTTGTTAATTACTTTTTTACTAAATATTTTTATTTTAGGTATTTATTTTAGTTTGGGTCATATTTCATTGAAGTAATTTTTTGTTTAAGTTAGTTAGTAAGTTATTAAACAAAACCCAGACTAAAAAAAAAAGTATTAAATAAAAAATAAATATTACATAATTGCTGAAGAAATGTTAATATTTTAAAAATTACTAGTTAAAAACCAAAAACATTCGTTCGCTTACATTTTGTAAAATTATATAAATTTTGGTCATCCATAGTAGCTGTCATCACCTCATAACTTTTCAATAACATCGATAACGTGAATAAAATCACGAGAAAATTCAGACACATCGTTAAGAAATGTTAGGATACAATTTTTTTATGCGATAAGTAAGTAATGTTTGTTTCAAATCAGATTAATTTAACTTTAAATTTTCTAATTTTACTCAAATAACGTGTCAAAAATATATAATTTATTTTAGGAAGTTTAAAATCAAAATTTTTTTTTACAAATTTCTTAAAATTTAAGAAAATGGCCGCTTTTAAGAAATTAAAAAAAATCGAGCATATATTTGACATTCCAATCTATATAATTTCTATCTGAAATACACCAGAATATTTTAGTTACTGGAAATAATAAATTTAATCCTTAGCTTTCAATTAAAGCTAAAATAAAATCTTTAAGAGTGCTTTTTCATTTTTAAAAATTCATTTTAAACCTTATCGAAAAATTGAATGGATGTATGTATCTATCTGGTTTCAGTAGATGTTAACTAAAACACCTCAAATAGAGTGAAGAGAGGAGGGATAGAAGACTTTATTTAACATACTACGAGACCCAAATGTCAGCAAACAATGATTTTTAGCCTGTTTGAGGATACTTTTTTTTAATATTATAAGCGGACACAAAGAGGTGTATGTTTTGATCGGAGCTATCACAGTACAACTGGTTTTGTTTTACACATGCGTGTGTGTATGCGTATTTCAGACACCAAGCGAAATACGCTAAAAGTAAAATAAAAACTAAAACAGTTTTCTTCTCAATTGACACACCCCGTTTCTTAGAATATTAGCAATATTACTTTGCTTAACGAAGGATTTCGTTGTCTAAATATTACACTACAATTACATTAATCTTTATATTATTTCGTGAGAATATTTGGAATAAATTGTAAATTTTTATACTCCATCCCCTATGAAATTGCGTACGGTAAAAAGCTTCTATTTTTGTTTACTTTTTTTTTTTTTTAGAGAATCTGTAAATAAATGGTGAGTAAGTTATGAAGTAGTTGATGAATTGGTTCATGAATGTAACTAGCTAAGTTTGTCATAAAGCCATTATTCACTTCCAAATCATTTTTCTTGTACTATATTTCAAATGTATGAAAAAGAGTTTGAAAGAAATAAAAAAACAACTTTTTTAGTTTTTTTTTTTTACAGATTTGGTTTAAGTAGATTTAACTTTTGGAAAAGATTCGTATTCTAGATGACTTCTTAATGATCAAATTAAGAAATCATTAACTAAACCTGTGAAGTGCCATTCAGCGCACATGTTTCGTTTTCTTATGCCACTATCAAGTTTTGAAGTTCGTTAAGAAGAAAAAAACAACAATAAATATTTCACCAGAAAAACACAACAAAGAATTACATTAATTTCAAAATCAAGGCAGTAAAAACTTACCAGCTTCTACATTATCAACAAACTTCTTCACTGATTCAATAGTAGTTTTTCCAGTTTCTTCGAACGGTTTGCCAAAACAATCTCCAACGAGGGCCCCAATAAGACAACCTCGGAAACGAGACATTACGGAAGTAAGTGGAGATTCTGCCATGTTTTGTGTATCCGCGTTATCTCCCTGGAACTAATTAAGCATCATGTGTTATGATGAAATGGTTTTTTTATCTTAAGTCACAATTATTGAACTAATTTGCTACCCTTTTCAATATCTCTCTTTTTTTAACCAAGTTTCCCAAGGTTTTCATGTTAGTGGGAGCTTCAAAAAAGACTTATAAGTTGAAAAGTTAAGTTATAAAGAAAAACTAGTTTCAATATAGAGTAGTAGCAAAAAAAAGCTTTCTCTTGGTTTGCTCTCGAGTCTTTCTTGCATTGACTGAATTGAAATGATGCAACATTTGAGAAGTTCATTATTCTATTCACAAAAGGAAGGAATTTTTTTATTTCTAGACAAAAAAAAAAAAAAACTACTTCAACAGTCATTATTTATTTGTCTGCTTTTTACTTGTGCTCAGATATCAATGTTTTTAAATTAAAAAAAGACTGTGAATAAAATAACTTACGAAAATATTGTTGTTTTTTGCTGGGATTAAAATTAATCCTAGCAAAAACAATTGATTAATTACTTGAGAAAATTATTCCCTAATTTAAAAAATGAATATTCATGAATTAGTTAAATTAATGTTCGGTATTGTTCGATATTTTTTTTTGCATTTCCCTACCATGTCAATCTCATCTCATAAACTAAAAAACACTAAAACAGACAAAAAAAGCATCGCGCTTAAAAAAGTTAAATGCTTTAGTTTTGTTTGGATTTATTTACACCGAGAACAGTTTGGCTCTAAAATTACGCTTTATTAAAATTCCTTTTTACGCCGTTAAAAGTTTAAAAAAGAACAACTTGTTGACGTACAATTTTTTTATTATCTTGTTGCGATTGAATTGTTTTATTTTTTTTACTTGTTAAATTAACTAAAAAAGGAATAAAATAAAAAAATAGTAACATTTTGTTTTTGTGTCTTTTGCTACATTGCTGTATTTTCACGATATTTTTTATCAGAATATTTATTCACTGAAGGCTTTTTTTTAATTTTTTTAAAGTTTTACTCTCTAATTTTAACTCAAATCTTACTCTTTCATTCCACTACTACTTGTAACATGAGATTGGCAGCAGATATTAATTTTTACATTATTTGCTGATTTTATTTTTTTTGACAAATTGATTTTTTTCAATGATTTATTTTATTAGTATTAGTTTTTTTGGAAAATGTATATTGTAACACCCGAGCGCTAATATCCCTTCAAATTTTTCCAAAAAAGTCTTAATTCCGTGCAAATGTATATGCTTTACTCAAATCAACAATTAGATATTAAAGAAAGCTACCTTTTTGGATGTTAACGACCAGAAATAATTGGACTTATTCTCGCTCTTCTTGTCATACTTTACGGCCTTATTGAGAGACATTCACTGCTGAACGATTTCGCGCATTTATACAATTTTGGCCTAATTACTCCCTCAACGAAATTAATACGCGTTTTTTTTTTCTTTTTAATTTAGTTAGGGTTAGGGGTTAGGATTAGGATTTTTTTCCAAGCTTTTAAGTTCCTTTAATTTAATTATTGTTTTTTATTTTCAATGTATAATATTAAAAAATGCTTTACTGTCCTACTTATTTTGTTCTTTTTGTTATTTATAATTTATAAGTATTTTCATCGATATTTTCATATATTTGAAAGTTAACTTTCTTTTTTAAAATTACACTTATCACTTATTTTCATACATTTGAAAATTACTTTGTTATTCTTTTATTTGTCGATATTTTCATTTGAAAGTTAACTTTCTTCTTAAAAAAATAAGTAAAATCTACACTTGAAAGTTAAAAGTTAACTTTACTGAAATTAAAAAGAAAAAAAAAACGCGTATTAATTTCGTTGAGGGAGTAATTAGGCCAAAATTGTATAAATGCGCGAAATCGTTCAGCAGTGAATGTCTCAATAAGGCCGTAAAAAAGTATGACAAGAAGAGCGAGAATAAGTCCAATTATTTCTGGTCGTTAACATCCAAAAAATAGGTTTCTTCAATATCTAATTGTTGATTTGAGTTAAGCATATACATTTGCACGGAATTAAGACTATTTTGGAAAAATTTGAAGGGATATTAGCGCTCGGGTGTTACAATATACATTTACCGTTTTTTTTGCATTTCAATTGGTAGTCAACCAACATATTTTTCATTCATTTTTAATTTTTAATAACAAAATTCAAAACAAATCCGTATTGCTCTGTGTTTAGTTTCTTTCACTCTCATCGAAAACATGCACCCAATTTTTAAAATGTACTAAATTTATATATTTTTATTTAGATTGATTAAATTTTATTAATTACCACTCTAACTAAAAAAATTAACTCTATGAAGAAAACTGTCAAAATAAAATGGATATTGCTCAGAACTAGCAGAATCAGCTATTTCTATTTTATCACGGAGTGTTAAACTCGTTTCAAATATGCAAATCCAAATCAAGTTTTTAGTGAGGCATTTTAAAACATAACTACTTTATGCAAAGTTTTTTAACCGTGATCAGATAAATATTTTGAGTCAAAATTATCCCCCTATTTAAGACTGTCTAATTCTATTAGTTGCCGTTAGATGTCAGCATATCGGAGGTTAATGTCACGTGATCAAAATTTAAAGTTGACGGCGGGTGAAACTTTTATGTCAATGTTGTAATGTAGGCAAAACAAAGGTCACTTGATAGCGTAGCAAACTTATTTTGTTTTCTTTTACATTTAATTATAGTGTATTACATAATGACGGCAGAACAAAACAAGGACATTAGAGACATTGACAATTTTGATACTGTTACAAATTTACAAGCTCTTATAGTAGATGATTTAAGAAAATTGGGAGTTAAGATTCCACATCGAAGGGATTTAAGTTCTATGAGAGCGCCTCCAACGGTAAGTTTTAAAACTTTCGTTTTCTGCTACCAAAACATTACTTGACCAACTCTCGAATTCGTTTCTATTGAATAAATTTACTGGAGGTTAATGCAGTTTTCGTTGTCTTATTTCAAAACATTTCATTTAAGACACACCTGTTGCTAGTTACTCTGATTAAAACTTTGAACATTTTCCCTTAACCTATTGTTACAATACATTGTAGTTTTTAGTATAATTTATTTTAAACACATTAATTTTAAACTCGGTAGTTAGGTCGTTTTACACTACACTACAGTCAGGTATGGAAAGCGTGATCACCATCAAGTAATTTTTAACAGAAAAAGACTTCATAAGAATATTTATCATTTATGATGCGTAAAGCAAAAAATAAATTATATAATAATAAATTAGTGATAAAGAATGGATTACCGAGTTCGTTGGCATTTTTGAGAAGTGCTAAAAACAAATAATAAAAACTGTTTTTTTTTTTTTTTTTTTTTTTTAAAATCATATCGAAGGTCGATGTCACGTTATCATAATTCAAAACCATAACTAAAAAAACATAAAACCACACTTGCCCCCCGCCGTGCTACAGCCACAGGGATTAGGATGTGATCACCTGTGTATGCGTTAGTGTTACTTACTGTTTTATTTTCTTGATATAATGCACAAACTCGCGATAAAACTGCCAGGTGATTAAATTACTTACTTGCACGGTGAAAAGGTTTCATCATGTCTTTTTATAAATAACTTTTTTATTTTTTTCACCCACTGATTTTATATATAAAAAAAAAAAAATTTCTGGTACACATCAACACAACCGTAACATTTTCTTATATTTTGGTCTGTATGTGAAAGTGTTGTCTGGAATCTAGTGGCACATGTGATGTGTCTTCCTTCCTAAAGAAATCATTGTATACAACAGATCTTTTCAATCATTAAGTCGACAAACATGGTTCCAACTGTTTCTCTGAAAAATTAGAAACTAAAATTTAATTTGAAAAATTATTTCTGAACAGCAAGTTTGCAATCTTAAAAAATGAGGCGTACGCCTCATTTTTTAAGATTGCAAACTTCCTCCCAACTGTTTTTTTCTTCACATAAAAAAAAGGAAAGCAGAAATAAAATCAAGAAATAGTAAAAAAAAAACTTTTTTTTTTTTTTAAACGAGTTACAAAAATTTATTGTATGTCCACATGTATAAATAAAAATTTCTCACTAATCTGTGTAGCTGTGAGTAGAAACAGTTGTCTTTATGAGGTAAGAAAAAGAGGTTCGTCTATGCCATACGAAGAGGGGCTTCAGTTTACCCCCCCCCTTCCGGAGGCCCCCAACAATTTTGCTGAAATTAAAAACTGAGCCAAATTAAATTTGTCCCCAATAGCCTAAACCCAAGACAGCAAAAAACATGTTCAATCATAGACTAAAAAAAACATTATTCTCTGATGATGAAAGAAAAATATATCAGAAATTTTAAACCTCTGATTTTATACATTTAACATGGAAATAAATTTCTTTACAGAACGCAGAAAAATGAATCTTTATTTTCGTCCGGTTTTAGTAATGTTAGTAAAACAAAAGCACTATTTAGTTACATTATTATATGTATCATCGCATTCCAGAAAGGGCCACTTTTATCAGACAAGTGCCAACCATAAATAATTTTCCTCCATATACAATACATTTTTCAGGATAGCAATAATTCTTGTTTATACTAATTTATAACTCTGGTTTCATGATGTTTTTGTTTTACTTCAAGTTATTGTTACTGCTCCAAGTAATTATACATAATTGTTCTCAAAATTGTCTTTTACCTGAAAAGTGTATATTCATAAGGGAAAGAGGCTACTCATAAACTGAAAGGGAGTAAAGTAGAAAGTGCTGACAATCATCTCAGTTATAAAAATCGAGGTCATTATAGTGTCTTCATAAGTAAGTAACTTAGGAAGACACTATAAAAACGTAAGATCACCTCATGCCAGTTACATTCATCCAGTTTTGTACATCTTTAGGTAGATGAATTCTTGAGTATGGCCATGCTGTCTGCCAACTTAGATACAAGTCATTATGCATTGTATTGATCAAGAGGATGTCCAAAGAACGAGCAGATTTCTGGCTTCTCTCAAGAGTCTGCTATACTCAATAGTGTCTAAAACAATGATTCTCAATGTGGGGCGTGGTAATATTTTGGTGGGGCATGTGTAGGATATGCACCCTTCGGCTTACTATATACCAACATGAGCTAAAATTTCATTTTGTATTATTTCATGATTAAAATTATCAAAGTATATTACAGAATAAGCTTTAATTCAAATATTTTATACTAGCAGGCTTTACCCGCTTGCTATCGCTTCACAAAGTAAGATATATTCCCTACTTGAAATCTTTAAAACAAAAATTTTAAATGAACATTTCATTCATAAATTTGCTTGTTATAGTTAAGGAAAGTTTTACAAATACATACTAACTTGTTGAAGGCCAAGTAAAATGCAAATTTCAAACACTTTTCTGCACTGTATAAAACAATATTCCTAAACAGAACTATTTTCAATATGAAAATCAAAACAATCCTCAAATAAAAGAATAGTAATGAAGGACAGTTAATTAATGAAATAAAATTTTTAAAAATCAATATGCAAATTAGTTAAACCTGAAGAGTGATATTGCCTAGAAGTAGATAATATATAATACAGATATTGAGTTCTTGGTAACACCCTCCCATTTGTTTGGGTCAGTGGTTGCAGCTAGCTAAGTTTAAAGGTAAAACAGAAGATGACCATCCTTTTCCCACATTTGTAAATTGTACAATAAATAAAACATCCTTCCATTGCACAAGAGGGAGGGATCAGTGCTCGCACTGAGACCAACGCAACCGATGGTTGCTGGGGCTGTGGGCAATTTTTGTCCTTTGCCCGGGTGTACGCGCTTGGGTCCCACATTAAAAAAAACCTTGTCACATCTTGTCCTCATGGGGGAACGAGTAAACACCATAAATTGAGTTATTATGGTGGTTGTAGTAAGAGTTTAGTAAGAATGTGTTGTTTTGGTGTTAGGAGTATTGTTTATATGCTTGTGGATAGCTAAGTTTAAAATTAAGACAGATGAAGACCATCCTTTTCCCCATCCCCTTTTTTAGGCCTTGTGCCACATTTTCTGTATATTTCACAGAAATAAATATTGTAAATTGTTAGTGTTTTAATTAGTTGGTTCCCCCCCCCCCAATACAGCGATTTGTACATATGGGGACTATTTAGGATTTTCATTGAGACAATGAGGTGGATATAGTAAAAAAGGTTAGTAAGAATGGTTTGTTTTGGTGTTAGGAATATTGTTTGGGTCAGTGCTTTCTGTATTTTTAACAGAAATAAATATTGTAAATTGTGTGTAAATCCCTCTCTTGAGGGGCTTGTAACACATTATCATCTCTCAGTTGCATCTCTGTATTTGGGAAGAGTGCACTCAGGGGCTACTCTGTCAAATGACAGAGTTGCAACTGAGGATAATTAAAGCAGCACCCATTCATTGCACCAAGGCCAGCGCAACCAACAGTTGCAGGGGCTGTGGGCAATTTTTGTTCCTTGCCTGGGTTTATATGCTTGGGTCCCCACCTTTTTAAAAAAAGACCTTGTGTCACAACTTATCTTAATGGGGAGACAGAGTAAATACTTAGTGTGTAAACCACTCTCTCTAGTAGTTTGTAACAGATTATTTATCATCTCTCAGTTGCATCTCCGTCTTTGGGCAGAGTGCACTCAGTGGCAATTCCATCAAAGGACTGAGTCGCAACTGAGGAAAATTATACTGAGAAATGATGGAGAACAGCTGCTCAGGGCCACACTTTCTCATTGCATCAGAGAAAGGGATAGCTGCTCACACTGAGGTCAGCACAACCAACATTCGTGGGGGCTGTGGGCAATTTTTGTTCCTAGCAGATGTGTAATGGCACAATTTTCATTGAAGTTGAGAGGGAAAGACATATGAAGATATTACTGAAAATGACAGCTTTCCATAATAATAATAAAAAAAAAAATAAGTGTACCCTCACAAGAAACTGAATACCTCACAGGTTGGGTACAAAGTAAGGAACTCTCTCTATATACCATTGAAGACATAAAAAATGAATTGAAAAAGCAGGGAGTCATGGATGTCAGAAGAGTGACAATTAAAAAAAAATAATGAAAATATCCTCATCAACACTTACATCCTGACATTCAGTGTACCAACTATTCCCAAAAAGATAATAGGATATAACTTCTTCATCTCAAATCCTCTGTTACAACTGCTAGAGGTTTAGACATTATGAAGACAGATGTTATAGTAAAGCAGTATGTAGTTGATGTGGGCAAAAGGACCCAGATCACACCACAAATGAAGGCAGAGATATATATGCAAATTGTGGATAAGAACACCTTGTAAATGCCAGAGTATGTAAGATTTGGAGAAAAGAGAAAGAAATAATGGCTGTAAAACATACCAAAAGTGTTTCTTTCACTAAAGCACATAAAATTGTGGAGGGATATATGAAAGAAAAGAGCTATGTCAAAATAACAAAATAATATGCAAGAAAATCATCAGAAAATTTAATTCAGTTAGGGCCAAATGACTGTCTGAAATTTATGAAATCAGATGCAATGATATATAATGAAACCAATGACAAATTAATGCAACCTGTAACCTTCCTAAAGGTTATCCAAAAGCCACCAATTAAAAGTAATTCAATAAAACAAAGATCACCAATCCACCTTCCAACATACACTGAAGAAAACTCCTCAATAAAAACTTGAGAGAAATCTCCCAAAGAATATACAAGAATATAAAAAAGTCGATAAGCACAAACCGAAAACATCCTTGAAACAAAATGGATCTGAAACTGTTGTGACCAAGTAAATGGTTAAAGAAATAACTACACAAGTGTTACAGATATATCATATATTGAATAGTAAGTACAACAGGAGAGTATTACATGACTAGTGAGTGTGTTTGTCAGTTGACCCAGTGTTCAATCTACTCGACAGTTC